AGAGCATCAAACAAAGAGATGATCTAGCCAGTGGCTTTAAAACCATAGGTGTGTCCAAAATACATCCTGTTAAGCGAAGCATTTATATAAACATTAGAAACTATTTTCTGACTAAAAACAAAATTGCCATGAGAAATCTTTATTACTGTCTCGTATACAAAGTATAGTGAAAGTAATTGTGCAAAAAATCGAAAGCTTGATTTTAAGAAACAGCTTGGCAATTTTGTCAGTATGTCAGTGTGCCTGTCTGTGTGTGTCTGTCTGTCTCTCTCTCTCTTTCTCTCTCTCTCTCTCTCTCTCTCTCTGTTTTTTGTTCTAAAATACCGATAACTTGAATACCGTAGACACACTTTTAAACATAGTTATAAGATTTAATTTTAAAAGTTGATACAAAAATACAAATTCAATAAAATACCTATTCATGAAATTTCGTCATCTTAACTGAAACGGTACCGAAGTAATCTTGTTTATAGACACACGCACACACATAGTTCTTCACGGACAAAAAGCCCTGTTTTTCCCACTCGATTACGCGTAAAATGCAAAAAATTAGATATATCTGGATTTAGAGTTTTCGCCCGGTTATAATAAATCCCCTACACTCTGTGTATGATAAAGTACTGAGGTGTAAAACAGTGAAAGCTAAAAAAAAATTATGTGACTTTCCCTGTACTCTGTATACGAGAAAGTAAAAATATAAGTATTAAAAAAAAAGGAATAAAAAAAATTTCTACATCCGGATTATATGAAACCGACACCCACTTTACTATTATAAAAAAATTCAGACGTTTGGGTGTTATGTTGATTTTATGTGTCTATTCATTGAATAAGAAAACACATACGCCTATGCTGTCAGTTGTTACTTTAGTTTTAAAAAAATCGATTTTTACTAATGCCCCCCCCCCCCCCCCATAACCTCACTTATCTTATCGGCACAAGCAATCGCATAAACACGGCCCCATCCTTCTGACTAATAATACAAAACGGAATGTAACACTGAATTGACGAAATAAAAGTTTTAGTATTAAAATAAATCGCAATAAGTTAATATTTTCGTCAAGGCAACGTAGTGTCATTCAGGCGATATTGTCTGCGTCTCGTTCTGCGTTGCTTCGACATAGATGAGGTTGAGGTTAAGGTTAAGGTTAAGGTTAAGGGTAAGGTTAAGGTTAAGGTTAAGGTTAAGGTTAAGGTTAAGGTTAAGGTTAAGGTTAAGGTTAAGGTTAAGGTTAAGGTTAAGGTTAAGGTTAAGGTTAAGGTTAAGGTTAAGGTTAAGGTTAAGGTTAAGGTTAAGGTTAAGGTTAAGGTTAAGGTTAAGGTTAAGGTTAAGGTTAAGGTTAAGGTTAAGGTTAAGGTTAAGGTTAAGGTTAAGGTTAAGGTTAAGGTTAAGGTTAAGGTTAAGGTTAAGGTTAAGGTTAAGGTTAAGGTTAAGGTTAAGGTTAAGGTTAAGGTTAAGGTTAAGGTTAAGGTTAAGGTTAAGGTTAAGGTTAAGGTTAAGGTTAAGGTTAAGGTTAAGGTTAAGGTTAAGGTTAAGGTTAAGGTTAAGGTTAAGGTTAAGGTTAAGGTTAAGGTTAAGGTTAAGGTTAAGGTTAAGGTTAAGGTTAAGGTTAAGGTTAAGGTTAAGGTTAAGGTTAAGGTTAAGGTTAAGGTTAAGGTTAAGGTTAAGGTTAAGGTTAAGGTTAAGGTTAAGGTTAAGGTTAAGGTTAAGGTTAAGGTTAAGGTTAAGGTTAAGGTTAAGGTTAAGGTTAAGGTTAAGGTTAAGGTTAAGGTTAAGGTTAAGGTTAAGGTTAAGGTTAAGGTTACGGTTAAGGTTAAGGTTAAGGTTAAGGTTAAGGTTAAGGTTAAGGTTAAGGTTAAGGTTAAGGTTAAGGTTAAGGTTAAGGTTAAGGTTAAGGTTAAGGTTAAGGTTAAGGTTAAGGTTAAGGTTAAGGTTAAGGTTAAGGTTAAGGTTAAGGTTAAGGTTAAGGTTAAGGTTAAGGTTAAGGTTAAGGTTAAGGTTAAGGTTAAGGTTAAGGTTAAGGTTAAGGTTAAGGTTAAGGTTAAGGTTAAGGTTAAGGTTAAGGTTAAGGTTAAGGTTAAGGTTAAGGTTAAGGTTAAGGTTAAGGTTAAGGTTAAGGTTAAGGTTAAGGTTAAGGTTAAGGTTAAGGTTAAGGTTAAGGTTAAGGTTAAGGTTATGGTTATGGTTATGGTTATGGTTATGGTTAAGGTTAAGGTTAAGGTTAAGGTTGAGGTTGAGGTTGAGGTTGAGGTTGAGGTTGAGGTTGAGGTTGAGGTTGAGGTTGAGGTTAATGTTGAGGTTAATGTTGAGGTTAATGTTGAGGTTAATGTTGATGTTGAGGTTCAGGTTGGGGTTAAGGTTGAGTGTGGTGGGGGGAAACCTATTATAGACAGTATACGACTAAGACATGCTAACAACTTAAGTCCATTCACTTTTTAGTATTTTAATCTGATTCCAACATAACTAAATGCGTTATTTATAATGAACGTTTACATCAACAACTGAATTGTCAAAGTGAATTTTCTGAAATCTTTACAGCTTTCTTGTTGTATTTTACTCTTCCTGTTAAAGTAGCAAGTGTTGAGAGGTCATTTAGCAAACTTAAAATGATCAATGATTATAAGAAGAATTCTAATAGACAAACTAGGCTACGTGATCTGTCCATCCTTAGTATAGAACATAAAGAAGCAGCTAAAATGAACCTCAGAGAACTGATTAATAATTTTGCAAACATAAAAGCGAGAAAAAAACAAATCTAAATAAATTATGAGCAACTTTTTAATATTGTGTTTGGTTATTTATAATTTACAGGCTTAAATTCAATTTTTATTTAATATAAAAGTGATATAAAACGAAATGTAATTAACATTACATGGTAGGCTACTACATAATAATCTAATATATAAAGCTCAATTCTGTATGTAACACATGTTTGTCGTGGATCTTCCATGGATTTAAGTGTTAGATAATTAAAGTCCTTATGGTATAAATTTATGAGTTAAAAGATTAATATTGATAGTTTTGGGAAATAATTTTCATTTATCAAACTGAAAGTAATAATTTTCGGCATGTTCATTAAACAAAAGTTTAAAAAAAAAATATCATCTTGTACAAAAATTCTAATTATGTCTTTATTTAGACCTATAGCACTTACTTCCCTTTGATAAATTAGGAAAACACAATTACTTCCCTTTATAAAACCATTGCATTAGTGGAAAAGAATTTACTTTTTATTACTTTGTTTTGGTGTTGGGAAAAAAAAAAATTACATAATTAGCGGGGATTGTTCAAGTGCAAATGTTGTAGGTATTTTACGGATAAGCTTGGAGTATTATAATTGTTCATTAAATTGAAACAGGCGCGTTCGTTTAGTGAGTGCAAAAGACTATGAATAAGTTGGGGTACTATAGTCTTTTATTAAGCTAAAACAGGCGATTCCGCCCCGGGCTAGACTGTGAGCACTTTGCGTTTATGTTCGCGTTAGTGTTTTCTTTGTGTTTAGGTTGGGTTTGCGTTTTCACAGAAGCCAGAGCAGGGCCTGGCCGGGACGGCTAGTACAATATAATTTAATGTACAATCAGGACGTGCAAAAAAATTGGACAGAGCATTTATGCAAATTAAAACCTCTCCCTAATGTTGAATTCAGTAGTAGTCGATTTCTTCGCTGCGCACTTTTAATGCCGTTGTAGCATAGCGGCTGACGAAGGGGCCCCAGAGACGTAGAGAGGGGCGGGGCGAAGGCGCCGACCTTAGGGGGCGCCAAAATGGGATGGCAAAACAAATCGAAAGTCTGAGAGGGGTGGGGCTGCAAATCGAAAGTCTAAGGGGGGGTGCAAATCGAAAGCCTGAGGGGGGAAATGCAAATCGAAAATCTGAGGGGAGGTGCAAATCGAAAGTCTGAGGGGGGGGGGGGTGCTAATCGAAAGTCTGAGGGTGGGGGTGCAAGTCGAAAGTTAGTCCCCGGTCGCCGGGAAGGGTCGCTACGCCTCTGAGGGGCGCACTAACACTTTTTGCATAGGGGCCCAAAAATCCTAGCTACGCCACTGATTACAAGAATTCATATGGTCTTTATGAAACCAAACTATATTTTCTATAAAAAAAAAAACCCAAAAAAAACAACAAACTTACCAAAACAACCGATCTGTTTTACGAAATTTTTAAGAGTTGTGATTAAACTTTGTTGCAATTTGACAAACGTGGCACTCCGCACAGAACTCTACTGAACAATGCATTGTTTTATGGGCCCAACCATTGACACAAAGATGAAACGCTCCATTAAGTAACAAAGGTAGCTCGCAGCATAGGTAATTGAATCAATACACAGAAAGAGTTTTAGCACTTGAAATAACCAGTCGTTACAAAGTCAAAGAGAAATAATAGCATGAAACAATTGTTAGGTATTTATAATTGATTCAATGTAGTGTCAGAGAAAAATGAAAGAATCAACTATGAATTATGCATTTCTTTTGTAATACATTTTTGTGAAATTGTATAGTCGTAGATGTGTTTTGGTCTACGTAAAGTTTGTGTTACCATCAATAATGTTATACCTAGTCGTACACACACTACCATCAATAATGTTATACCTAATCGTACACACACTACCATCCATGATGTTATATCTTATCGTACACACACTAGTTTTGCAAACGATGAAGTTAGCCGTTTGTAATACAATTTTATAGAATCAAACGCTGGGTGTTTGACAGTAGCGTAGCCAGGATTTTTTCATTAGGGGTTGGTTTTATATATATGTATACATATTTTATATATATATATATATATATATATATATATATATATATATATATATATATATATATATATATATATATATATATATATATATATATATATATATGTGTGTGTGTGTGTGTGTGTGTGTGTATACATGTACATCTTGCTAAATATTTGTGCTTAACGTCAATATATGTTGTCTGAAACTCCGCGAATTACGTGCAGAACGATAGTGTTGCCAAAACAAACAAAAAACGTATTGAAGTTAACATTTTGTTTTATTGTACTTCTTGTACGCCGGTATGAAATTACTGGCAGCCGCGCAGTTAGCAAAGTCAAGGTCACACCTGCAGGCTTGATTGCCACAGTACGTGTTGAAAAACCCTGGAACAGAACAATGAGAGAAACACAGGTACAAGTCAGATGAATTGGCACGTGATTTTTTTTTAACAGGAATTCACAAACCATTACTTAACATTACCGTTGAGCAGTGGCGTAGCGAGGTCGGGTGTCACCATGTGCGACAGTTGATGGTGATACCCCCAGAGGCGTAGTGACCCTTCCCGGGGACAAACTTTCAAATTTTCGATTTGCGCCTCCCCATCATACTTTCTATTAGCACCCCCCCCCCCCCTCGAGCTTTCGATTTGCACCCCCCCTCAAGTTTTTCTCTATATATTTTGCTATTTTTTGCCTTGGTGTCACCCCCCTAAATGGTATCACCCGGTGCGGTCCGCACCCCCCCCCCTCGCTACGCCTCTGGCGTTGGGGGTTGGGGTAGGGGCTAAATTGTGACGATGTGTGATGATATAGAGTGGAAGGGGGCGGGGTCTGTTCATAAAGTGTGACGATTCATTCTTTTATTTTGTAAAATAATGTAAGAAACGGTATTTTCTTCGATAAATTCCAGTTTTAAAAGATTTTTTTTGTGTGTAAAATGTAACACAAGCTTATGTTAACACTTACGAAATCGATACCATTGTTATTTCATATTCTTTCTTTTTTTTCGGTGGAGGTAGGGTGGGGGCGATTGAAACTTTCGGGGAGGGGGGGGAAGGTCGGACTAAATTTCCCGAACAGTGGGAGTTGAAGGTTTAGAAGATACGTCATATTTTAAGGAGTACTTGCTTTGTATGACAAAGTGTGAGGACTGGGATGTGGGGGCAGTATAAATTGCTTTAAAAATCTTGATTGGGATTTGGGATGTCTCCTTAATCACTGCCAAATGTACGGCTTTAAAATTTATAAACAACAAGAACACGTAATTCAGTTATAGCTGTTAACTAGTTATCTCCCTTTATAGTGCCAAAAATCTTTAAGTTAGTTTTAAATACTATTAATTGTTGCGTTACCAATCCTATATTCTTAGACGTGAGACTTTGTTCTATAACACTGAGTTTAGTGGCGTAGCTAGGATTTTTGGACCCCTATGCAAAAAGTGTTAGTGGGCCCCTCAGAGGCGTAGCGACCCTTCCCGGCGACCGGGGACAAACTTTCGATTTACACCCCCCCCCCCCCTCAGATTTTCTATTTTCACCCCCCCCCCCCCTCAAACTTTCGAAAAAGGGCCCCTATTTGCCTTAGGCCCCTATGCCTTGCTTACGCTAGCTTTACAGTAGCTACGCCACTGACTGAGTTATTTAAATGTAAACAATGTCTGCGCTAAATTTCTTGGATAATATCCCACGACCACGAGATTTCACTTTTAACACTACCGCCCAGAACACCATAGTGCTCACAGGATAGCCCTAGGCGTCAAATCTCACCCTAACGGGGCTCCGATGGACGCGCCTGATTTAATTTAGTGAATGTCTATAATACCATTTCTTACCCATACCCTATCGCACTCTTTAAACCGGGGTGCCAGATAGCATCCTGCGGGGGCACCGGAGCATGCTGCTGGCTCAATTAAGTCAGCGACTATGCAACCCAGAGTAGCAATAGCCTATCGCAGTCTTTAAAACGGACGTAGGCGCCGTAGTGCTCACAGCGGAGCTCGGGACGTTGAGGGTCACGAAAATCGCGGCTGCGCCTGTTGCATTTACTCTACGGGGGAGCCGGACAACGCGTCTGGCTCAATAAAATGAGCGTCTATAGCAACCCATTGTATCCATAGCCTATAGCAGTCAGATGTCTACAAACCACAGAAACAGTTTTTGCTCCAGCAGACGTAGTCGTAGAAGACTGTGTAGGGGCTACAACTCTCAATTCTGCCATAGCACTCGTCGTGAACTTGGCAACACCTGTAAGTAGAGAACTTTATGACATTTGCATGGCATACAATGAGAATAAAATGATTTTCATGTGTGAAAAAAATGAACTCATAGGGTGAAAACTCTTATTTGGCTACATTGTCACACTTACGGGGAGAAAACTCTATCATTTGCATACGTTATCAATGCGGTTGTGTTATCCTGCTTGCACAATCCAAACAAATGGTACAAGACACACGCGGCACACATTTAAAGAAAACTTTGTACTCACCTGTCCGTATCATCGAGAGGAGTTCCGGACCCCCCAAACCCACAGTAACAGCCGTAGCCGTTGTAGTCCAACAGGGCACTTCTGCCTGTCACTGTGGACAGGATGTCGTTTAGAGCAAACAGCCCTCTCTTGCCCCTAGACACTCTTTGTGCGCCGTCTGAACACCAGGCTCATGTGAATAAACTTGTGATGGTTAGTAAACCGTTTACAGTTTCAGACTTAACATTAAGTTACAACAAAGTTTAGGGGCTGGCGTGGTCTGAAGGTAGAGTGCTAGTTGCTAGACTGCTAAACAAAAGTCTCGAGTTCGAATCCCCAGTTCAAGTCAATGTAACGTCCCTGAGTCCACTCAGGTCTAATGGGTACCTAACTAACGTTAGGGAAATGAAAAACGGCTTGGCATAATGCTGCCCACATCATTAATTCAAATGCCGAGTTCAAGAAACATATAGTACAGTTTAATTAAAACAACTTTAAATTTATACAACCACTAAATATTTTCATAAAGTTTAAAATATGCATGATTGTTAACTAAATTTATGGCCAGAGTTTCAAATATCTGATAGCAGGTCTAGACCTGCTTTACTTTTCAGAATTTGGAATTTAACAGGAACGCCTTCTATTCAGGGTGTTAAGAAATGATACAAACAGCCCTCGGTGACTTCTTTCGATTATAAAACAGCTATGTTTAAAAGTTTAGTGTTAAAAGTGAAATCTTGTGGTCGGTAGTATTTACTACTGTATGGACGCCTAGATCTCCATAACATTTTATTTTCAATATTCTTATTTATATCTTATAAATAAATATTAATTTAACAAACAAATAAAACATCGAACTGATACTGACATCTCATGAATTAAATTGGAGAAATAGAGGTAGATTACACTTGAACTTTTTAAAGACCTTGCCAAAAAAAAATCCAAGCCTGTTAAGTCAGCAAAAGAGAGCATGAGCCCTAAGTTATGCGATCAGAGTGTTATATCAACTAGGAAAAGTAAAATCTTGGACCTATTTTTACACAAGCAATATTTTACATTGCTAGCTTTATTTTTTTATTCATGATATGTTCTAGTCCAAAATTATTTTTAAAATATTTTGTCAATAAATTATAATTTTAAAATTATTTTCGTGTGTCGCTATTTGACTCGATCATTTCCTTAAATTTTATCCAATCCCCGGCAATTAATTTTGCCATCTCCCCAAGACATCCCTGTTGGCTTCAGTTCTTCAAGAAGACTCCGCCTCCAGGTCTGTCTTGTACGCCCTCTCTTCCGCTTTCCTGACGGTTCCACTCAAGCGCTAGGCGTGTCACATTTGGGTGAGCCTTTCACAGCGTGTGTCACACCCAGTGCCACCTTCTCCAGTTTATCTGCACTGTCATTGGCTCCTGCCTTGCTTTTCTCCATAATTCTATGCTTGGTACTTTGTAATGCCACCTCCATTTCAAAATCTGTCTAAGGCATTTGTTCATGAAGTGTCGCTATTTGATTACGGCTTATTGTTAGACCTAACGTAAATAGCTATTATTTCAATTCGACTCGAGGTTTACTAGACATAGGCCAGTTTGTCAGAAAACAGACTAGCCTTGTACTTGTATCGCAAATATACATAAAATAGTTGGCATAGTATCACATAATGGATTGCTTTAACATTTTGAAAAACAGCGAAGACGACGTAGACCAAAGCATTTGAGAAACTTAGAATGAGGACGTCGGTATTGATGCCAGCAAAACGGGTTGGCTTAGGCAAGCCAAGAGAAAACATCGCCTGGCAACATTGGACTGAAACACACATGTGGTGAGTATAGCGGTTCGGCTTAACAAATTCCTGGAGAACTACTCTTAAAAGTGAAGCAAGATGCTATGGAGTTACATGGACTCAACTAAAGAGAGTCGTCCTAAACAGTCCAGTGTATAAAAAATGTATTTGCTGTCTTTGCCCTTCGGGGCTACACAGGATTAGGTGAAATCGATTCGTTCAAAATAGGTCTGAGTACTTGTGTCGGCAGTGTTTCTTCCAGACTTTTTTCTCCGGGGGGGGGGCACTTGAAATTTTCGGGGGGGGGGGGGCGGTAGACTTTCTTCGGGGGGGCGGACACTGTTAAAAGTATATATTTTCTATATAAATTATATAAATTTCATTTCGTTCGGGGGGGCGGTAAAATTTTTTCGGGGGGCTTCGCCCCCCCCCCCCGAAGAGATGCCTGGAAGAAACTCTGTGTGTCGGTTAAGCTCATGGTTGCTAAACCAAAAGTCCCAAGTTCGATTTCCCGGGTAAAATAGCTAGGATCAGGGGCGTAGCAAGGGGGGGGGGGGCGGGGGGTGCGGAACGCACCGGGTGACACCATTTAGGGGGGTGACACCAAGGCAAAAAATAGCAAAATATATTGAGAAAAACTCGCGGGGCGGAGCAAATCGAAAGTTTGAAGGGGGGTGCAAATCGAAAATTTGAAAGTTTGTCCCCTGGGAAGGGTCTCTATGCCTCTGGGGGGTGGGGTAACACCATTAATTGCCGCACCGGGTGACACCCCACTTCACTACGCCACTGACTGGGATGGCTCATTAATCACTGCCACATGAACGGTTTTCAAAAGTTATAAACAACATCGGAAGTAAACACAAAACACGTAATTCAGTTATAGCTGTTAAATAGGATCAATAGCTGGGGACAGCGACTTATTTAGGACAGACAACTCCAAAAGCAAACAACTGCTGCCTTGCATATTGTTCTTGGTTGGATAACTGTTATGAAAGCAAATCCAAAAAAAAAAAAAAAAAAAAAAAAAAAAAAAAAAAAAAAAAAAAAAAAAAAAACCTGAAATAATATTCAACGGGTTATATGGCGCATAACAAGTTAACCTAATTTTGTTGGAGGGAATCTCTTCCAACACTAGAATTAAGAACGAAGAAGGAGAAAATAAAAGATTATTGAAGCTCGATTTGGGACGGAGTTGTCTAGCGGTAGAGAGCTGGAGTGCTAACCCGTAAGCCTCGAGTTTGAATCCGGGTTCAAGTCAGTAGACCGTCCCTGAGTCCACCCAACTCTATCTCTTCATATTTATAATTTAATCGCCAATGGCTTTATTGTATTTATAATATTTACAGTCCTAAGTTGGGCTCATTGTGATTTATTTGTTTTATAAGTTAGAAATACACGGTTTTAAACAATATCAATTAGAACGTGGCCGGGAGAGTTAAACAGCAAAAGATAAACACATTGTTATCTACTTACCCAATGTCTGCAGTAGCAAAAATAATACAACAAATACGAGCATTTTCCTTTGCCGCTGCATTTATAAAGGAAAAATAGTTTGCATTTAAAATATCTATTTTGGTTTTTAAAAAACGCATAAGTTATAACAAAATTAGATCTTCTTCTGAATTATTTACTTCTTTACAAGCAATTGAGCTACTAAAAACATTTTCTTGAATGGAAGAAGTATTTACCTTTCCTATTGACAAAAATGTATTTTGGTAAATGAGAGTATGAGAGTAGATGAAGAACTTTTATATAGCTCGCTCCCACCTGTGGTTTACCCAGGATTACCTGTGATAATATTTGCTGCATGTCCCTGACAGGTCTTTGATGCTCCTCGATCGAATCATATTTTCATTAACTTCCTACATCTGTTTTGGAGCACTTTTATGTGAAAAACATTATATTTTCATTGAAACAATACTTGCAAACATTTTGATGTATTTTCATTTTTTCACTTGGTAATAAAATGTTCAAACGAATTTGTAAAAATATTTTTTTAGTTCATCTACTTAATTTGCATTATATGTTGACGAGTTAACTTTTGATGATATTTTAGTTTCGAAACTGATAAAAAGAGGAACAATAGCAATTGATGGAAAAGAAATGAAAAATACAAGGTTAAAATTTTAAAGTTAGCTAAGCGATTGTCTATTGACGATATAAAACTCTTAGGGGGATCGGAGAGATCTGATTTCGGGCCGGCGTGTGACGAAATTTTCTTTTAAATACATTTTCGAAGCCATTATTCATGATTTTAAAAAGAGTTTGTGAAGTACTTTTTGAAGCCATTATTCATCATTTTTAAAAGTGTTTGCGTGTGAAGTACTTTTTGAAGCCGTTATTCATGGTTTTTAAAAAAGGTTCTTTGTGAAGGAAAAATCAAAACTAGACCAGTTAATTCAATTACCGATCTCAGTAAATGTTGACTTAATAATATTTTGTTTCATTTCTCCAAAGTGAAGTATAGAATATATAAGTATAGAAATATTTAAAATAACACACCGTAAATAAAAAAAAAAAACAAAAAAACTTTGAACTACTGTACATGTAAAAGTACATGGGTTTTCGCATAATAAATAAACCCATTTACAAAATGAGATTGGCGTTTGTAAACATAACTGTTTACGTGTCACCACGCTATGTAGCAAGTCAACCCCCCCCCACCTCCCATCCAACGCTATACGGTATACGTATGCTACTGATAAAAAGCTGTCAGTAAGTAAAGCTGCTTTTATGTTTAACACTGCAGTATTCTCAATTAAGATTTTTTAAAATAATATCTTAATTAACTGATTAACCTTGAATTTATAAACGATGAGATCAGTGTTTCTTCAAGACTTTTTTCTCCGGGTGGGGGCACTTGAGAATTTTGTTTGGGGGGGGGGGGTGGCGGTAGACTTTCTTCGGGAGGGGGGGCGGACACTATAAAAAGTATACATTTTCTTTATAAATTTCATTTCTTTCGGGGGGGGGGGACGGTAGGCTTTTCTCGGGGGGGGGGGGGGGGAGGCAGAGCCCCCCCCCCCCCCCGGAGAGATACCTGGCAGAAACTCTGGATGAGATGGAGGTCTGTCAATTATAAACAGCTAGCAGAGAGACCACACCACGCACGGGTGGCGTTAGCATGTCCATTATGTATGCTTCACATTGGTTTTGGATATTCCTTCAGCGTACACATTGGTATATTTTTTTATTGTGAAACCAACTTTCAAAACAATCGCTATTGATGGTGGAAAATATTGGCATTAAATAAATAATTTTATTTTCATTTGTTTATTTGTGCTGGTACATTAAAAACATCATTTTCAGTTCAAATAAATGTCACTGTGAGCTTATTTACACTTGTATAATAAAAGCAACAAAACACACGCATTATACTTTAATAAATACAACAACTTTACACTGTTTTAAATACCTCACATACGACGAGCAGCACATATGTAACACTAACATATTGTATTACACACAAGCGACATAAATAGTTTGTAAAATATTTTTTTAAATAATTAAAACACCTAAGCTTCAAGTAAATAATAAATAATAAGTATAGAAAGAAATATAAGCTAGAAACTTGAAAAATGATATTATATTCAGAAACAGAGAAAGGAGGCTTTTAAAAATAATTAAAATGCGATAGTGTAAAAACATGAGATTCGTTTTGTATGTAGTTTGTTTGTTGCCTCAGTCCACAATCACCCCACTGTAGTTTAACCCACAATTGTGTCTCAGTCCCCCACTGTAGTTTAACCAACAATTGTGCCTCAGTCCCCCACTGTAGTTTAACCAACAATTGTGTCTCAGTCCCCCACTGTAGTTTAACCAACAATTGTGTCTCAGTCCCCCACTGTAGTTTAACCAACAATTGTGCCTCAGTCCCCCACTGTAGTTTAACCAACAATTGTGTCTCAGTCCCCCACTGTAGTTTAACCAACAATTGTGTCTCAGTCCCCCACTGTAGTTTAACCAACAATTGTGTCTCAGTCCCCCACTGTAGTTTAACCAACAATTGTGTCTCAGTCCCCCACTGTAGTTTAACCCTCAATTGTGTCTCAGTCCCCCACTGTAGTTTTACCAACAATCGTGTCTCAGTCCACGTTAACCCCACTGTAGTTTAACCCTCAATTGTGTCTCAGTCCCCCACTGTAGTTTAACCAACAATTGTGTCTCAGTCTACATTAACCCCACTGTAGTTTAACCCTTTCGAGTTGTAGCCACAGTGCCGATGGTTAGACAACCAGTTACAGCCCAACCTGTAGACTAGAGCCCCACTGCTACCTGGACAGGTACTCGTTGTGTACGTGTACCTGGTCCACCTGCTATCTTCGTCATTTCTGTCTACCCAATGACCTATAGACACCTGCTTAGCACAGCCATGAGGATGGGAGACTATAATGGTCAGCTTGTCCACATCTTTATCTCCCCTGCATGTGTCCATGACGTCAACACACAGCCCATCAAACCGCTCCACCATTTTTTGCATCTTGTCCCCAATGAACAAGTCATGGGTCGCGCAAAACACCAAACACCAGTCACTGTCAATGTCAAAAAAACCCTCACCCCACCCGTAAACATTGACCACTGGACTTGTGTCCTCATCAAACCATAATCTACACCTGCATTTTAACGCCTCGCTGGGATCAAAAACTACATGAGTAGACGTCGCTATTACGACATTCCACCACTCTTTGCTGGGAGTATCTGAATGTTCACATTCAGGACATGGACAAGTTCTATAATCGTCCATTCCTTCTGTGAACTTATTCAAACGCCACACCCTTCCGGTCCCTGTTCTCAGTGAGTTCTGTCCCCTGGTGTTGTAGCTAGGATATGGATCTTTAGTGCCGGGTAAAAACTCTGGTCTGTCTAGACTGGTGAACGGAACGGCTATTCTGACCGTAATGTCGCCAAGAGCTTTGATTAGGTCATAGACTTCTGGGTGAGAACTGGCCGGTAGGGCATCAGTGGTTAATGCCTTGATGGGCACAAACCCAAGGTGACCAGGGTTCTTCAGACAGCTTGCTAGTTGTGTGTGTAGATCTGCTTCACAATGACATTCAAGGCATTCTTGTACTTCGTGTGTACCTATAAGGGTAAATACCATAAAGACAATTACCTTTCAAACCATAACATCCATGAACACTTGAAATAAAATTCATGTTTATTAAGTGATTTTGTCATATTAAAGGATGATTTGGTCAGAATTATGTCCTGTCACCTCTACTTTCCCCAATTTGAGTTAGGTACTCATAATTGCTGAGTGGACTCAAGGACGTACTACGGAACTGAGTCCGATTTTTGCATTCATTCTTTCTACCACCCGACTACGCCTTACCATAAATACTATCATTGCTTCAAATGTTTTTTAAAGTAACATTTGCATTTAAAAGAATTGTCATCAATGGATTTAACGAAGTACAAAAGTAATTACAAAAGAAATGAATGACGTATAAAACAAAAATAAGTACCGGCAAATAGATGAGATTGGTCACAAGAGTCTGTTGTGTTGAAGACTGCGCCAATGATGTCATGGATGCTGTAGGTCGGGAAGAAATTTCCCATCTACTGGGTAAAGTTATTTAATTAATTAATTAAAATTAAAGCAGAAAAAAATTAAAATTGAAATATAAACAAATGTTGATATACCAAACTAACTAAAATTTATTTGTTAAATAAAAATATTAACTATAAAATTAAAATTACTTTTTCGCTAAAAGGTGGTTTAAATTATACCATCGATGTGTACTTCACATGTCAGCTAAATTCAATATTATCATAGCATAGTTAGCTTACTTTATATCGTGAATGTGTATTATTAAGAATAATTTCATATTTAAAACATTAATGTATGTGGTATTTGACGGCGGTGAAAGGGGGGGGGGAGGGGAGACACACACATTATAACTGCGTAAATCTTGTATTATCTACAAGGATAAACAAAAATTATTTCATACCTGGTAGAAAAAAAATGACAGTTCACGAAAACGTAGCTCAAGCTATAAATATTTAACTTGGTTTAACTAAAGGTATAACACATTTCCTATTTTTTATTATTGAAGATTGAACAACCAAAAACGTAAAACAAAATATACACAATTTCTATGCGTCTTTTCAACTGAAACAAAGCTATTACTACTAAAGTGTTAAAGATTAATCTCTAGGCACATACAGACGTCAACACTCAAAACAGAACATTTCACGTCATCCGGTTTGATCCGATGATTGTCCAGAATATTCTATTTTAGAACGCCAAAGTGTCGTGGGTTTCTACTCATGCACACATTAAAAGATTTACTTCCTTGCTGTGATGCGCGACACGCCAACGCCTTCACTATATAGGACGGTGACAGATGTGAAGAGCTGATACGTATGTCTTGAGAGTCACTTACAAACATTGGTTTTTTTTTTTAAAAATTAGCAGCATCTTAAGCGTACACAGGAGACGATTTCTAAAACGGTCTGGATTGTACACATCCACGGAAGTCGGTGTTTTTGAAATTTCAACCAATGTGTGGACGTCATATATAAATAAACTCTAATTAGTCATATGTCAAAATAAACTCCCCACAGAGATCAACTCTCCAACAGGGCCGGCGCTACCTATAAGGCGAACTAGGCGGTCTCCTAGAGCGCTATCCATAGGGGAGCGCAAAAATGTGTAATCGCCATTATTAAAAAGTACCCAAAAATTAATTACTTTGCGTAGCGATTTATTTCGGTGGATAGCCGATTTTTTCCCGAAAGCCACTTGCCCGAATGCCGTTTGCACGAAGGCCGATTTCCCGAATGGACACTTGCCCGAATGGGACAAATGCCCGAAAGCCACTTGCAATATATATATATATATATATATATATATATATATATATATATATATATATATATTGCGGTGGGGGGGGGGGGGGCGTTCTGATACGTTTTGCCTAGGGCGCTAAATTACCTGGCGCCGGCACTGCTCCCCTTACAAATCAACTCTCAACACACATCAGCTTGAGTCCACACACACATCTATTTCCCCACACACGACAACCCAACACACATCTATTTCCCCACACACGACAACTCAACACACATCTATTTCCCCACACACGACAACTCAACACACATCTATTTCCCCACACACGACAACTCAACACACATCAGCTTGAGTCCACACACACATCTATTTCCCCACACACGACAACCCAACACACATCTATTTCCCCACACACGACAACTCAACACACATCTATTTTCCCACACACGACAACTCAACACACATCAGCTTGAGTCCACACACACATCTATTTCCCCACACACGACAAGTCAACACACATCTATTTCCCCACACACGACAAGTCAACACACATCTATTTCCCCACACACGACAACTCAACACACATCTATTTCCCCACACACGACAACTCAACACACATCAGCTTGAGTCCACACACACATCTATTTCCCAACACACGACAACTCAAGACACATCTATTTCCCCACACACGACAACTAAAAAACACATCAGCTTGAGTCCACACACACATCTATTTCCCCACACACGACAAGTCAACACACATCTATTTCCCCACACACGACAACTCAACACACATCAGCTTGAGTCCACACACACATCTATTTCCCCACACACGACAAGTCAACACACATCTATTTCCCCACACACGACAAGTCAACACACATCTATTTCCCCACACACGACAACTCAACACACATCAACTTGAGTCCACACACATCTATTTCCCCACATAAATTAGATTAAGACCGCACACATTACAATTATGGAGTCCACACAGGTCAGTTTATATTTACTTCTCCCTCACTACAAAGCCCCCCCCCCCAACTAAGAACCCCACCACGAAGTCCCCACATCCACACCAACACCCCCCCCCCGGTCACTCACAAACCCCGCACTTTTCAACCAGATAACCACATGGAAACAGGTTTTTCCCTTCACCTGAGATCAAAGCCAAATCAATTGATTGTAGGGGCGTGGGTCGCTCTACAGCTGCTGTTGTACAGCGGCTGTTCAGTTGTTGGCGATAAGATAAACAGCTGGGAACAGCTTTGTTGTCTGGGGATACAGCAGTTGTTGGCGATAAGATAAACAGCTGGGAACAGCTTTGTTGTCCAGGGCACAGCAACACCTCATATCCTGTTGAGGCTACCTGTCTACAAGGCCGCCGTTTGCCAACAACCCCCCCCTTTCCCTAACACCTCCAACTTCCTAACAAACCTACCCCCCCCCCCTAACACTCTTATACTTCCTTACCTTTTTACACTTAAATAACTCAGTTATAGAAAACCAAGTGTCGCGCCTAAAAGTAAGTAACAGCGGTATTATGACAGTAAAAAACAAATTTACAGAGGGGTCCATAAGAGGTGTAGCCCACCCTAACACCCCTCCCCCCCCTTCCTACGCCACTGATACATCTACTCCGTATACGAGAAAGAAAATGATAATATTGCATCTTCTTAATCTAAGTTTATTTCAAGCATCCAAAAATTTTAAGTGCTTCTTCCCCCCACCACTCTCCCCCCCCCCATCCATTCCATGCAGATAAATGTCTGAAAAAAACTTGATGTTACTTATTTTCGAGCACTAACATAATCCGCGATTCAAAACAAGTTTATCTGTCGCTGATTTGATTTAACTAGATAAACTAATATTGTATAATATCAACACAGTATAATATCAACACAATATCAACAATACAGAATTCTATGGTTTTAAAATTACTTTTTTAATCGATACCAGTAATAGAAAACTTGAAGTGCTAACTACTGCGATATTTGCGGCATATTTGACATAGGCCTTCTTACTGTGATTTCAGAGATATAAAGTTTGATGAAAGGCGGTGGATGTGTGTCGATGTGTTGCTGACGTTGCATGAGAGATATCTGACAACCACTGTACAGAACACAACAAGTCTTCTAGTCGAAATGTTAGGATCATGAGGTGCAACACAAACATACATACACGTGAACATATACACGAATACATCAAGATTTAAGTATACATTTTATTTACATTTTTATTAAAACGTAGAAGAAACAATTTAACACAAACTCAAACACACAGACACACAACCAACACACTACATGAAGTGTCCTTCATGTGTGTACCCCACAACCACCCACACACTCACATAAACACCAAGTGAAATAACATTCCAACATTGCAACTTTAAGTATTATTTTTGTCATTTGATTTATTGTACCATCCGTTTATAAGACAAAGAAAATACATTTTGTATAACTAAAATTAAGAATAATTAATATAATTGCACAGAAAAAATACAAGAGTAAATATATTTTAAGCTTTTTTTTAAAAATGGGAAGTACCAGATAGATACTATTATGTCAAACCAGACATATATATATATATATATATATACATATATATATATATATATATATATATATATATATATATATATATATATATATATATATATATATGTATATATATATATATATACACACATATATATATATATATATATATATATATATATATATATATATATATATATATATATATATATATATATATATATATATATATATATATATATATTATATATATATATATACACACATATATATATATATTATGTATATATATATATATATATATATATATATATATATATATATATATATATATATATATATATATATCAAGGTTGTATCTTGTTATTCAGGTGGTGTGTTCAACAAATCCCATGTTTTGCCGCTGTAGTTGATGCCTTCAGTGTTTACCCCACTGTGGGGGTGCCTGGGCCACCAGCACCCCAGTCTGTAGACCAGCGCTCCGCTGCTACCTCGGCAGGTACAGTTGGTGTATGTGTACCTGGTGTAGCCGTTAACATTTTTCCTGTTCAACCACCTACCGAGCGAGACCTGCTTAGAACATCCGTGCGGGTGGGAGACTATGATCATTAGCTTTTCATCATCATTGGAGTATTTTTCTCTTAGTTTCATATGCAGGTGTAAAAATGGCGAAACAATCTTTTCGAGCTTTTCGTGGATTTTAAAATCATGTGTGGCGCAAAACAGGAAACAGTTATCATCTAGGGGGTTTAACTCCACCAATTTATAACCAACGACGCTGACATCAAGACTTGCGTCATCGTCAAACCATAATCTGCACGTTGATTTTCTCGCCTCACTCACATCGTAAATCACGTGCCGGGCAGTTGAAATCTCGACCTGATACCAGATATCCCGGGGGGTCCCGGACACCTCACACTCCACACACGGGCACGTCGACCTCCCCTCGGTTCCTGCAACGCATTTAAACGTCGGGTACGCGACCCCAGTTCCTCTCGTCAAGATTTTCTTTCCTCTAGAACTGTAAAACGGGTATGGGTCTTTAGTGCCTGGTAAAAACTCGGGTCTGTTTGGGCTGATATACTTGACGGTTATCCTGACCGTAAGTGCGCAGAGCACACGGGTGAACTCTAACAGATCGTCGTCATGGTAACCGACCGGAAAATGTTCAAGGGTGAGGTTGTTGACGGGGATGTAACCGCCGTGAGGTTTCGGACAGTTGTTATTGTAAACTTCCAGCTGGGCCTCGTCTTCACCTTCAATACATTCTTGAACTTCATGTGTACCTGCATAGGTAAACAAAGATTCGTACGGGTTACTAAAGCATTTCAAAAATACTGAACGTAGACACAAATGCCAACAGCATTTTAAAGAACTTGGACATGAAAGACACATAAAAAACACCTCAAATAACACAGACGTAAAGTACACATATAACAGAATCATCTTAACCACTCATCTATATATATAATTCTCTTCTTGGAGACGCTAGAAAACAAGCTGTAAGCGCATTCCCTACCACCCCACCCCTACATGGTCTGGTAAGCTGTGGTTCACGCTAAATGTTTACAATCACAGAGCCGGGTTTAGTGACGGCTATTAGGGGCAGATAATTTAGTTTGAAAGGATTTTAAACTTAAGGGAGGCAACTAAGAGGAGGCTGCTTTTACGGGGGGGGGGGGGTGTAGGGTAGGGGTTGTTGGGGGAAAGGAGGGTGGGGGTAGTATCGTTCTTAACGACCTACTGATAGTGTTTTAAAGCAAATATTTTCAGTGGCAGCATTGGTACTGTCGATCTCACAAATTATGAATTATTGAAAAGTAGAAAAAAACAACTAAATAGCGGCGTATGATATGTCGCGGGTCGGCTCGTATATTTTAATATGGCTCCGAAATCCAATTAAACCATTGGATGATTGCGCATTGGAAAATACAAGCACAAAGCCTGGGCCATATGTTGTGAAGAGCCATATATTACAATTTTGAAAAATTACATAACATTCATTTTTACCACAATTATTAAAAAGCATTTCTTTCAACCACCGTGATCCGCAAACATTAGAGATAATCATTCTAATGTTAGTTTAGCAAGAAAACTACTATAAAAATAATTGGAAATGTTATTGATATGTTATAACTACGTACACTAGCTAAAATCATTAGAATTGTTATTGTAATAGGAGTCGACTTGGTCGGGCCGGTAACGCCAATCATTTCTAAACTTAAATTTCCAGAGTTCGAATTCCATGGCAGGTTAGTATCGATAACTTGGGACAGCCACTCATCTAGGAGAGCCAACTTCAAAGTCTATGGAAGTAAATCCATAAATAAAATCAGGCTTAAATAGGATTGAACTGGCCATATGTTGATATGGTGCATAACAAGTTGACTCGTGATACTTTATTGTGCTGGAGGAAATTTTTTTCTACATTAAATCTATGAACGAAAAAGACAAAAAAGAAGAAGGATGTACTGTTATAATTATGGAAGAGCGTCAAATCATCTACAAGCTTCAAAGACTATTAATGTAATGTTATGATTATATACACGAACTCCCCAGCGACAAACGACACGGAATGCTATTGTAGTGTTATATTTTTTTTTACTAAAACTACATAAGCTATAAACTATGGCTAGTGTAATGTTACTTGCCTGTAAAATCTGTTGACGGATCGTTGTTTTCTATCACTGTAGATGATACATTTTCATTGGTAGCCATTAACCTTGGTATCTTCTTAACAAGATAATCGCACAGCTTCTTTCTGTAATGTTTATATTCATCTGATTAGCATACTGTTATAAACGTATTAAATAACCAAACGAATATAAAATAAAATGACAATGATATATTTGTTAATAATATTTCACTAAAACAAATTTTCATGCAAATTGTAAATCTTTTAGTAGATATGTTGAATATTAACCAAACATAAGTAACCCAAGAAAAAACAAAGTACAATGAGACTATTCAAGTATATAGAAATTACAGTATACATTGTACACACCTCCTGTACCTGTTTGTGATAACGTGAGATGTAAAGTGAACTATACCCTCACCGACTACGCTGGTCACATGATTACACGATATCTCGTATCTACTTTAATGGTCGATCAACAACTGCTGATTAGGTTACCCTAGCCTAATACACATTGGTTGAACTTTGCTGGTAGATAAACTTGTTTTATGATATCAGTGTAGATGATATGTTACATTGGTGTAGGCTTTAGTAAAAAAAAACAGTGTGTTTTATATTATAAAGATTATAAATTTGTAAATGTATCACATTAAGGGTTAGCAGCAAAATGGCATTAAACATTTTAAAACAATCAGGTGAATGGAGGTATGTAGAGAGAATTGTGAAAGGTCTATATTGATCTGTTTTGCTGTATTAAAATGTCAATTTAAATGTCCAAAACGTACCTCATGTTTTTTGGAAAATTCTACTGAAAAGTGTTATGTTTTGATATTTTAAATCGCAATACCTGCTGTATCTTTAATGAAGACACTTTTTTATTATTTAGCTAAACAGATTTGACTGTGTGACTAATAGCCTCAACGCACATTACACTAGCCTCACCCACAATAAACTAACCCTTTCCACTTTAAACTAACCCCGCCCACATTAACCTAACATTTGACTAAACTTGTAAACTCGTTCAAATAACCGCTGCCACATTAATCTAATCCCGCCCACAGTAAACTAATCCCGCCCACATTAAAAAATAACCCCGCCCACATTAAGCTAACTCCACCTACATTTACCTAACATTTAACTATCATCGTCCTCATTCAAATAACCCCTCCAACATTAAACTAACCCGATCACATTAAAAATAACCCCGCCCATATTAAACTAACCGCACCCACAATTAAACTAACCCCACCCACAATTAAACTAACCCCGTCCACATTAAAATTGACTCATCCACATTACTTACCCAACGACATTAAAATAAACCCCACCCACATTTAACTAACCTTAACGATAATCAACTCCCCTAACCTCCAAAGACATTAGAAAACTCTAAACATTTTGCCAATCAGTTAAAATTTACAAAGTACGAAAGCTCGCCACATCATCAATTACACGATAACGGGTGTGTCAAAATTATCCTACAAGAATTAAACAATATCTATCTTGAGATAAACGTTGTCCTTTAGTGTTCATGAGCTTTGGTCTGGTTTGAAAAAACAAGGTAATTAAAAAGTCTAGTGACAATTTTAGCGCAATTTCCTTATGTTATCTAAAAATAGCTCGGTCGTAGCGTAAATCAAGAGCAGGGTTAGTAAAACCATTGGTTAGTTATTAAAACGTTTTTTATTAATTTTTTTTTTCAGTATTTTACATGTTTTATTTACAATAGAGTTACATGACTAAAAACCATTGCGCGCCTAGCTACTGAACGTGATGACGCAGCCATTGAACGTGATGGCGCAGCTATTGAACGTGATGACGCGTGTGGTGTTGTTGGATAAACATGCCTACTAATTCGGTCCAAATTTTAATTAATTAAAAAAAAATTTTGTGACCGAACGAAAGGATATTTTTGAAAATTTCTTCGGCAATATTGTTTTAAATTATGGCAGGAATCGATTGGTACATGTTTCAAGGTGGTCTGGTTGCCGAGATATGGGCCAAAAACTGCATTTTTTCGAGTTTTTTTGGCTTTTCCGGGAAATCCACGAAAGAAACCCGGAATTTTTTTGGCCTATGTTCATCCTCGTAACTTGCTTAACATAATTGCTTTTGGAACTAGTCCTCGATATTGCTTCGTTGAGGAGGAGATACGACTTAAAGCTGCGGACACACATCCATCCATTCATACATCCAGAAATGACGGGTTAATAAGCGCAATTCTCCAGAAAGGAAATTGCGCTAAAAATATTTACATCCTATTAATAAGTAATAACACGTTCTATATAAGAACATTAACATTAAGTTTAACACTTGTCAGAACATCACAGAACACACATATTACATATTTAGTTAGATAATGATTTGCGTGAAAAATACGACCTGGCCGAAATAGGGGGACTAAGTACAAAGATAATACATAGAACTAGGGACATTGTAATTAAACAAATACATACAACTTATATTTTATAGGGATATGAGGATAATAGTAATCCTTAAAGCTATATTTTATAGGGACGATTTAACAAGACTGCATAATCCTATATTTTAAAGAGACATTATTATAAACCTAATGGATAAACGTATATTTTATAGGGACATTACTATAACACGAATACATAAACATACATTTTATAGGGACATAAGGATAACACGAATGCATAAACTTATATTTTATTGGGATTCTGGTACAACATCAATAAAACATAGACCTTTATGTTATAGTATGTTATAGTACTCTTAGTACAATAGTAGTACTAAGACTCCATACAATCATTTAAAATACACTTTTATGAAATTTAACAAGTTAACCGATGTATTTTCTTTTAATTTTCAATGTTACGAACTTATGTCGCACTAAGGTTAGCACTAACTCTCTATGTCCTAATTTTCTGTGGAGGTTAGTGTACCTTTTACTGGAGACCATAGAAACAGAGGCGTAGCGATGTGGGGGGGGGGGGGGGGGGGGGGGGGGAGGGGGGGGACATATGTTCCCGGGCGCCGACCTTAGGGGCGCCAAAATGGGTTGTAAAAACAAATTAAAATGTCAATTCAGCTGCATTTTTGCAGTTTGAAAGGGGGGGGGGGTTGCAAATCGAAAGTTTGAGAGAGGAGGGTTTAAATCGAAAAGTTGAGGGTTGGGTGCAAATTGAAAGTTTGTCCCCGGGTACCGGGAAGGGTCGCTACGCCTCTGCATAGAAAACACCACGCATCGTAGCCACCACCGTCATTAGCGAATTCTAGATCACAATTACATTATTTCTGGCCTCATCTAGAATTATTTGGGGCTGGAATCTAAAACATATTCAGCATCAAAGTTCTAACGTCTAAAAGTTTGATTAGAAATTCAGAAAAAAAAATGCAATCGTCGGACTAAAATCTATAAATAGTCCAAATTTTTAATTGTCATATTTATTCTTATTATTCAATGCTTCATTCAACTAACACCTAAATGGGTTATAGTGTGTAATTGATTTCACAACAGCTATCCTTCAAGTAGTAAGTTGTAGCCGAAAAGATATTCGCTGGTGTGTTAAAGTTTACTCTAAGCTCTATAATTATCTAACTTATTAGAGACGTATTTTCATTTTGTGGGTAGGGACTAAAAATCAACACACGATAATGAATACAGGTACGATAACTCAACTCAAGCTGTATGCAATTCCTGTAACTCTTTACAAAATACATACACAGGTCCGGTAACTCAATGCAAATACATGTAAACAGGTCCGGTAACTCAATGCAAATACATGTAAACAGGTCCGGTAACTCAATGCAAATACATGTAAACAGGTCCGGTAACATACTACAATATTAATGTAACAGGTATCAACCCCCCCCCCCCCCTCCCCCCAATCCCTAGATTTTCAATTACATCCCGGAGTTAATATTGCTTGTAAAAGAGTAGCAAAACATTAACACGGGTATTAGTTTAGTCTTTTATAGCACACAATGAATCGCAGCTCTAAGATATATTTTCTACTGTTAGTTCACTATTGATTTACATATTACTTTGTGAGTTTTTTTAACCCTTTCAGGATCAATCAGCAGATATGGACTGTGCTGACAAAAAACACCAAGGAAAAAAAAAAACTAGAAGATACCAAACATTTATAAAGTTTTCTTGAGGTTTCATAAATTGTTTTTTTTTAATGTGTCAATAAATTCATGACGGCGAACAAAACTCTGATTAAATGTGGTCTGTGTGGATTTGTGAAGGAGGCAGTGGCGTAGCGAGGTCGGGTGTCATCCGGTGCGGCACTTAATGGTGTCACCCCCCCCCCCCCCCTAGAGGCGTAGCGACTCTTCCCGGGGACAAACTTTCAATTTTTCAATTTTCGATTTGCACCCCCCCCTCCAACTTTCGATTTGCACCCCCCCCCCTTCGAACTTTCGATTTTCACTCCCCCCTCAAATTTTTCTCTATATATTTTACTATTTTTTGCCTTGGTGTCACCCCCCCCCCCCTAAACGGTGTCACCCGGTGCGGTCCGCCCCCCCCCCCCTCGCTGGAAAGAGGCAAATGTTTTAAGATAAGGGGATGTACTAGAAATTATTGAATGTCTACAAGGTCAGCAAATAATCGTAATAACATACCCGTTAAGAAATCGTGATTCAATTCGGCGTTTGATGCCAATAGTGTAACATTTGAATTGTAAAACTTTCGCCAACAAATTAATTCCAAAGTCAAAGAACCACGAAGCTCAGAAAACAATCTTTAACACGGTCGAATTTTAGTTTTGAACATAAATTTTAATGGAAATAAATGATTCAATTCCAAAACGACAAATAAAATAAAATGCTAGGAAAATCAACGAATTAGAGATTAAACTAAATACTTGGTTTTATTTGTCTTATAACTTTACGTACTACATGCGTCATCAACATGTTGCAGATTACAAATCAACAATTGGATTTGTCGTAATGTTTCTTGGAATCGTCAAATGGGCTTTTAGCTGCGCAGTTGGCCAAATCGACGTCACACTTGCATGTTTTGTCTGCGCAGGACTGAGTTGACGAATCTGAAGTGAAATAGACACGTTCATGATTAATGTTTACACACTTCATGTACACAGTTATGTATACAGTTGACTGTGTTGACGAATCTGAAATAGACACGTTCATGATTCATGTTTACACACTTCATGTACACAGTTATGTATACAGTTGACTGTGTTGACGAATCTGAAATAGACACGTTCATGATTAATGTTTACACACTTCATGTACACAGTTATGTATACAGTTGACTGTGTTGACGAATCTGAAATAGACACGTTTATGATTAATGTTTACACACTTCATGTACATAGTTATGTATACAGTTGACTGTGTTGACGAATCTGAAATAGACACGTTCATGATTAATGTTTACACACTTCATGTACACAGTTATGTATACAGTTTCTGAAAGACGCCTATTCTATAGCAATGTTGACATATTTAATGTGTATACAATATTTGAAAATTCAATAGGAGCTGCTGATAAACAGACAGCATCGACTTGTGAGAACTGATACAGATTTACAATAGTGGTACTTCTTTCGGACATGTACTTTCATTCATTTAACTTTGTTTACTTGTACATAAATCTAATACAAAACGTCGAATTACATTTTTATTTTTAAACCTGAAAATGCATATATGTAAATTGTTATAGCTTTTTTTTTTAAAAATACATTTATTTTCATTACAAATTTCTTTTTTTCTCCGCCTCAGACATGTCATTTACAGCGTCAGTTTGCTTTGCATGTTCGCTTTAGTATTACAGTTTTCATCATCGGCTTGTGAGGACTAATACAGATTTACAATAGTAATACTTCTTTCTGACAGGTACTTTCATTCATTTAAGATGAGTTACTTATACATAGATCTAATACAAAACGTCTAAATATATTTTTATAACCTGAAAATACAAATATGTCAATAGTTATTTGTTGGTTTTTTTTTTTGTTTTTTAATACTTTTGTTTGTTTTATTTTTTTTTCTCTTTTTTTTCCGCCTCAGACATGTAATTTACAGCGTCAGTTTGCCTTGCATGTTCGCTTTAGTATTACAGTTTTCATTATCAGCTTGTGATGACTTATACAGATTTACAATGGTAATAATTCTTTCTTACATGTAGCCTACTCTCATGCATTTAACTTGGTTTAATTACATATATCTAATACAAAACGTCTAATTACATTTTTATTTTTACTTTCTCGTATATACGAAAAGTAGAGAAAGTCTTGTAATCGTGCACACACAAAAAAATCGAGATTAAAAGTCATGTCCATATCCCGAGTTGCCATCGCCTGTTGTTTCATATAAGAATATTCGAGAAAGTTTAGGGGAGATCACTCCCGGTTTATTAAATGTTATTATTATTTTTTTTTTAATTAAATTATTATTATTATATTATTATTAAATGTTATTATAAAACAACTAAATATGAAACCGGCTACGAATTCCCAATTATAGTGTCATGAAACTAATAATGTGTATACAATATTTGAAACAAAAATGTTTGTTGTCCATAAATAGCCATGCAACATATATGTGTATACAGAAAAGCTCATAAACAAAGTTAAAACATTTCATGCAACTAGTGTGTAGTATATTAATCTTGTAACAATTCCTACTTTATGATAAAACGTTTTCAGAACACTATGGTGTAATCTCCATTGGCGGATTTTAATCAATGTTTGGAGAGTGATCTCCCTTGTCGACTTAGTGTTTAAATTTTGAAAGGAAAAAGTACAATCTCTAAGCAGTCCGCAACATAATCTCGTGATCGAAAATTGAATCTAAACTTAAAACAACAACTATATCGAAGTAGCGGGATTTCTTATCTGTGTATTCCAAGTTTTCGATATATTGAATGTTATTTCAGATATGTATTTAAACGTGTAGATTGAAAGACACTTTTGGCGAATAACAATGTAGAAAAAGTAGAAAAATAAATTATAAATTTAATTTAAACGTGGAGATTCAAAAACATGTTGGCGAATAATGAATACAATTGTATCAGTTACAGTGGCGTAGCGAGGTCGGGTGTCACCCGGTGCGGCACTTAATGGTGTCACCCCCAGAGGCGTAGCGCCCTTCCCCGCGCCCGGGGACAAACTTTCAATTTTCCATTTTCACCCCCCCCCCCCCCCCCCACCATTATCGGGATTTGTCAAAATTTTCTCTAAAAAGACTTTTTAACACTCGAATTAATCCCTTTATTAAGTGGAATTATCATTTTTCTCTATATATTTTGTTATTTTTAGCCTTGCTTACCCCCCCCCCCTAAATGGTGTCACCCGGTGCGTTCGCAACCCCCCGCCCCTCCCCCCCCCCCCCCCTCTCGCTACGCCACTGATCAGTTATAAAAAGTAGAAGACATTTCAGATAGTAATTTTAACTTGGATATTGAATGACATTTTGGCGATTAGAAGCGAGAGATTAAAAATTCTGTGTGCTGTGTGTAGCTTAGTTACATGTTAAACGTTTAAATGTTTTCTTATAGTAATAATTTCTATCGTGACTCATATGCCATGTTTTATGTCTCTCCATTAGCTGTGTGGAGAGAGGGAGGGAGCCGGATGGATCAGACTCTCATCAACTTCTTGCCCAAGCCTTTTGCCTTGATTTCTCAAGGGAAATAATCCAGTCCCATGTCATATTAATGAGCCTTATCTCCCCTTAATCGTAGCGTAATTTTGCATCTGAATTTTATTTTTTAGTAAATCATTAATTTTATTTCTTAGTTAATCCTTAATTTATGTATAGATTTCAGTTATTAAAAAAATTTCATTAGTTTTATTTATTAGTTAATGCTTAGTTTATGTAAACAGCTCAATCATTATTTTTTAAATTAATTATTTTTATTTCTTAGTTAATCCTTAATTTACGTATAGATTTCAATTATTTATTTAAAATTGATTAGTTTATTTCTTAGTTAATTCTTAATTTATGTAAATAGTTCAATCATTGGTTGTTTTTTTAAATTTTACATTGGTTACTACTGCGCGAACAATTAATCTCTGAACCAGTCAAACAAATCAAGAGGGATGAAGGTTAAAAAAGATCCGGTGTTGCATTAGCACAACATTGCAATGAATATATTCCTTATATAGATTCTATATATAACCACCATCAAAGTAATAAACCCAAATATCTCGAATGTATTAAATGTGTGGGTTCATGTTCGTGAAATGTTCGCCCCATAACTCTATAAGCCCCTCCCCGGGGAGTTTCACAGAGATGTAGCGTACTAGAGAGTTCAATGGACAGTACTTGTTCAGGCTTTAAATACTCTCTGTTGTAATGTTTAAGTATTCGCGTAGATTTACAGTAGCGTCTTTTTTGTTTACATGTTCTCATTACCCTTCAAGCTATAGTCTATTTTATTTATATGCAGATTAAAGAATGTAAATAAACAGTACACACAATTCTGTAGAATAGGAACGATTGGGAGGGAAGTGACATATAGCACAGGAAATTTAGAGGTTAGGTAGGGTATAAAAGGTGGGGTTAGGAAAGTTTGGGGGTCCATTCTCTTATAGGCAGCCTAGGTTTCGTTCGTACTTTCAAGCAATAAATAAGTTAATTGTATACGGACTTCGTGTTGGTTTATTGTCGACCCTGTCCTTACCTCACATCACAACAGTCTCATATGTACTCACCACAGGTACACTTTCGGTCCTTGCACGTGTAATCGTAGCCGGTGAAGTACGGTACACAGCCGGATGCAATGAGCGTGTCGTAGCACTGGTCGTGTGTCTTGCAACAGCTGGGGAAAGACGGCGGCGATTTATGGCCTCATTAGTTAATGAAGTTAATGAATTTGAAACTAATTAGTAGAAAACCGAAACTTTGAATATACCACATTTTGCAAAAGATGTTCAATACACTAAATAATGTTTGCTATAATCATACTACATCTGTCTAAGGGGAAGGCGTGGTCGGGTGGTTCAACGTACGACTGTTTACTCGAAATTCTCCAGTTCGAATCACGTTCGAATCTCGAGTTCGAATCGAGTACCTGAGTTAATTCAGCTTTGATTGGTACCCGACTTACGTCATGAAAATCAAGGCTATTAGGCGTAGTGCTGACCACAAAATAGCTTATTTAGACTAACTCATAGAATTACAGTCGTATGTTATTGGTCTTTGATAAAATGTTAATGTCCTGCTTTATTAATTGTATTAACCATTACCTGTCCGTGGCGTCAACAGGGCTGCCCGACCCCCCTACACCGCACCAGCACCCGTAGCCCATGTAGTCAAAGAGGGCGCTGCGCCCTGTGGCGGTGGACAGGACGTCGTTAAGGTCACCCACATTTCTCCTGTACGTTCGCTTCTCCAGTTGGTCGGCTGAACCATCTACGCTAGTGCCTCCAAAAAATATTCAAAAGTTTTAGACTAGTAGAGAACATATTCAGGGGCGGAACTACAGTGCCGCCAGACCCCGCAGTGCGGGGGGACCCGGGGCAGTTTAGGGGCCCACATCCGACCGACCTTAATTTATATATATATTTGGTAGAGGTGTAGCAAGGGGGGGGGGTGCAAATGGAAAGTTTGAGGGGGGGGGGGTGCAAATCGAAAGTTTGAGGAGGGGGGGTGCAAATCGAATGTTTGTCCCCGGTCGACGGGAAGGGTCGCTACGCCTCCGACATATGGGGGCCCAAAAGAATTTTTTGCGGGGTGGCCCTATTTTTTTAGTTCCGCCACTGAACATATTGTAATGTATCAGTGCAATAATTTAATACAAACCAACCAAGTTGAAACGTATGTTCTAATTCAAAAAACTTATGTTATTTTTTAAAGAAAATGTTTATTTTAAACACAATATGTATTTCTTTAAACATTTGGTTCAATCTAACATTGGTGAAAATACACATTGTATGAAAAAAAAAGATTTTGCTGTTTTTGTATTAATTTTTTTAAAGTATGTTTACCCATTTTAATTTTTTTAAATATTAGTTCTTAAGTTAAGATGTAATGAATACCAGTTATTCTAAAATAGACTTAATTTAACAGATTTTCCAATGCGTTAGTTCTGAATGAAAACCTAAATATGCTACAATTACAACAAATTCAAACAATCTCCTTGACTTACCGGCGCCCCATGAGATTAGTAGCAAGACGATGTAGGGCCACATGTTTGACATAGCCTACAACACAATAATAAAAACTGCTAAAAAGCTTTACTACAAATCACATTGCTATAAGTATATACATGCAAATTTAATATGTAAAACGTAAAGAATCCTAGCAAATGAAGTAGAGTTTATTGTTACTTGACATCGACATTTGAAGGGGTGGTCAGCACTTTTCCCAGCCGCAGTTACTTTTCCTAAAACAAGTCAGGTACCCATTAGAGCTGTGTGGACTCAGGGACGTCCTACTGCCTTTGGAAACTTTCAAGTTAGCAGTCCAAGCGCGCTACTTTTTATGCCACGCCGTCCCTAGTATGTCAGTTAGCTGTTTTTAATATGAACGGCGGCGATCCTTTTTCATCAGACCAATAAATCATTAAGAACAATGTATTGTAGATATTTGTATTACCATTGTATCCGTAACACACTGAATGTAACAGAGAGATTAACAATGTCTGTTGTGCCGTGCTTTGTGTCGTATCAATGACTTTTATATATCTAGTACCAACAGGTGGGGGGACAATTACATGGCCTGGTGAGTTAGTGATTTTTTGCTGTCTCACACTGAAGTTACAGGGGAATATGGTGGTCAATTGTTGATTTTGTTCAGAGGCGTAGCCAGGGGGGGGGGGGGGGGGCGGACCGCACCGGGTGACACCATTTAAGGGGGTGACACCAAGGCAAAAAATAGCAAAATATATAGAAAAACTTTAAGGGGGGAAGCAATTCGAAAACTTGAAAATTTGTCCCCGGGAAGGGTCGCTACGCCTCTGGGGGGTGACACCATTAAGTGCCGCACCGGGTGACACCCGACCTCGCTACGCCACTGATTTTGTTTATGGGTAAATAGTTGAGGTTGTGTTGAGGTAAGTGGTTGGGTGCAGGTATGTTGTTCAGGTTGTCTTGGGGTAGGTTTTGGGTTAAGTAAGGGTAGGTTTTATGTTGTGTAAGGGAAAGTTGTTAGATTGTGAAGAGGTAAGTATTAGGTTGTATAGGTGTAGGTTTTAGGTTGTGTAGATGTAACTATTAGGTTGTGTTTATGTATGTTTTTTTGGACGTGTAGAGTTAGCGTTGTGTCGTTTTGTGTACAGGAATATGTAGATACGGTTGTGTACAGTAAGTTGTTTCTAGTTGGTTTTTTAATGTTGTTTTCGCATGTAACTGTATAATGTTTTGGTTCTGTAAGGGTGTGTTGTTGTTTTTTTTAAATTAAATGTATGTGTATGTTGTTTTGGCTATGTGTGAGAATTTGATGATTCGAACTCCGAGAGCAGGTAATAAAATGTTTGAGTATTGTTTTTTGATATTTAGAGTGCCATAAGTATTCAATGCTGGGCTGCTTTCCCGAAAGTCTCGAGTTCGAATCTGGGTACAAGTCAGTAGAACGCCACTGTGTCCACCCAGCTCTGATGTGTACCTATCTCACGCTAGGGAAAGTAAAGGCGGCTGGTAGAGAGCTTACTACACCTTCCTTTCATATGCAGAGGTCATGAAACATATGAACTCGACTATTCAAGCTCTCATACAATTACCTTAAAAAGATCTAAATAAGTAGCAGTTTAAGAGATGATGCATTAGAAATACATGTTCTGTTTAAATAAATGTATATTAAATGCGTGCTTATATTTTATTGAGGAAGCAATGCAAGCAGGGTATCTGTGAATCTATCAAAGTGTTATTATCAATTAGTAGTAGCCGCACGTACCATCGATTGTTGCAGGATGTAAACTGATTGTTAGCAGACACAGCGGGTTCAACACTCACAATGGAGACAGCTGGACACGACACTGAAACCTAATCACAAACATGACGCCAGGCTCAATGGGTAATTGTATCAGAGATTGGAGTCACATTCAAGCATGGATTGTCCTTATGTGTTGTTTTTTTTGTACAAATTTATTAGCACAATACGAACAGAAACACACGCAACAACATATCAATACTAACGTGTGATAGGTTTTTTTACGCACGCGCGCGCACACACACACACACGCGAACACACACACAGACAACCGATTGATTGTTAATTTGGATGATGTGTATGGGTAAAAGTGTATGTTTTAGGTGTGTAGGTGTGTGTAGGTATTGTCTAAGGTGCGTAAATGTGTGTTGCCCTTATGGGTGTAGATGTGTGTTATTCGGGTGTGCGGGCTGTGTTATTTAAGGTGTGTAGGCATTGTTTTGGGTATGCATGGTATGTTGTTTTCTATGTGTAGGGATGTCTTATTTATTTTGGGTGTATACGCTGTGTTATGTTGGGTGTGTAGAAGTATGTTATTTGGAAGTGTAGGCATTGTTTTGGTTGTGTAAGAGACGTGTGTTGTTTTCGATGTGTCGGGGTGTGTTATTTTGGGTGTGTACAAGTATTATTTTAATGATCCCAAAACATAAAACTGTCGGTAGTTTCCACAATCTCTACATTATTAATCTTATCAGAAAGACGTTACGGCAACCTCATGGATCTGACGGCTAAGAAGGAAGCTGTAGTAGAGTTCAGCTGTAGTGTAGCCATCGGTTTGTCCTACTGGCTTTACTTTCTAAATAATGAATCATGTACCCAGCAGTGCGTGGTGGATCCGAACCCTAGCCTTGGGTATGTCGATAGTATGTTGCTATAACCCATGTGATAGGAAGAATGAGAATGTGTGTGAGTTTTGAAATTTCCTTAACGAAACCTTTTATATCCTACCTTTTAAAACTTTTTACATTCTCCCCCAAATAATAATTATGCCACTAACGCTTGCGTGTATAGTATATTAAAATACCGTAAAACCAATACCTTTTTATACGATATCAAATATACACAAAGGGAAGCTATTCTAAACCTACGCTTTTGTTAACAATGTATATCTTTCAAACAAACTGTAGAATAATGTATCTATAAATTAGCCATAACCTTTATACAACAAATGTAGTGTGCGTAAAACAAAAACGTTCAGTTACCTTTACTTGACTCAAAAACCCTACAATACCGACGAGAAATGTGTATTATTTTTTGCCGTACACACAAAGTAAAGAATACGTTGAAATGTGTGTAGCGATATTCTCATTGTGTAACATTTTTATTGATTACTGTGTCGTTGTTCATGTGAAGCGATCTGTAGCGAGGCTAAGGACTCTTGTGTTGAGTAGTTTATGAAAAGGGACATTTCCGCACGCGAAAAATGCGAAAAAAGAAAAAATGTGCATATAGAAAAGCGCACATAAGGAAAATATTACGCATTCAGAAAATTGCGCAGACAAAAAAGGCGCAACTAGAAAAACGCGAACACAAGGTTTGATGTAGGTGGTGTTGGTGAGGTAGGTGGTGTAGGTGGTGTAGGTGGTGTAGGTGGTGTAGGTTGTGTAGGTGGTGTAGGTGGTGTAGGTGGTGTAGGTGGTGTAGGTGGTGTAGGTGGTGTAGGTGGTGTAGGTGGTGTAGGTGGTGTAGGTGGTGTGCAAAAAAAAAAATCGAGATTTTTACAAATCTCGACGTTTTACACCTCACTGATACGGAAAAACATAATTTTGCAATCTTGTCCGTATGTCTGAGTGTCTGTCTGTCTGTCTGTCCGTGTGTAAACACGATTACTTGAGTACCGTTACAGCTAGGTTGATGAAATTTCATATATATGTATTTTATCAAAATCGTAGATCCGTATCAACTTTTGAGCGATTTCCGATAACCGGAAGTGGTACTTTTCCTACTGTGAATTTTTCAAAAGCCTATAACTTGAGTACTATTTCAGATAGATAAATGAAATTTCACATGTAAGTAAAAGATCTAATTCTCTACCTTCTGTTAAATTTTGAGTAATTTCCGTTGACCGGAAGTAATAATTTACGCTACTTCCAATTTCTCAAAAAACTAATGTAAATTTTAAAAGTACTAATAATATTGCGCACTATTATGCGCTTTTTTATTTGGCGTTCACTTGGTGTGCAATTAATTTGTCTACGAGATTTTATTCAATTTTTAAAACTTTAAGTATTTAAAATGGATTAAAAATCATGTCTGTAGCCCGAGTTCCCATCCCCTATTATTTTATATAAGAATATTCGAGAAAGTTTAGGAGAGATCACTCCCGGTTTATTTATTTTTATGTTTCTCTTTGCGCATTATTCTTAGGGTCGAAATATCTGTTTGCACATTTTAATGCGTGCGAATTTTCGTGTGTGTGCATTGTTCTATTGAGCATTTTGTGTGCGTTTTGCGCATTTTTCCGGTATTCGTATTTGTAAGAACATGCCTTCGTTTTACCACGAATTTCAGTAAAAATCTGCTTAAATCCCTTTGTAAGGGATGTTAAATATTTTCATTTTTTTCATATTACGCTAAATATACCATCGATTTCCTACTAATGGTAATGAAGAAAGCAGATACTCAATTTTCAGCACAGATATATTACGTTTTTTAACATATTTCATCAACAAAATAATTAAACAGGTCAAAACTAATCATTTATTTTGATGTTGATTCTGTGTCTTGGTGTTTTAGATGTTAATAAATTGTTTTGTATATTTGTTCAATCTTCGTTTTCTATTAAAAATTCGAAGGCCTTACAAGCACACGTTAAGAAAAAGTAAAAACTTACAAAAGCCTGAACAAAATTTTAAGTCTAAGTCTACTTCTGCTTACGTTTTATTTGAATGTTACAGAAACGCTACGTCTGGCACTTAACATTTGTTTTTCTTATCATAGTTCCAGTAGATGGCGTTGTACTTGGACCTGGCTGCGCAGTTGGCAAAGTCAAGGTCACACTTGCAGGATTTCTGTCCACAGAAGGTGTTAGAAGGTGCTGCGTTAAAATAAATTGAGAAATTTTTTTATCCTTGATTTATAGAAAAGTGATGGAACTTGTCAGTTAGTTAATTTGTTAGATCATTTCTAAAATCGTAACATTTGTAATTTGACTTTAAGAACGTCATACTACACGAGTGCAGTACACATGGTCTCAGACAAAAGATCTCAATGACAACGTATTTCAGGACAAAAGATATTGATTGTAAAATATATCAGATAAAAAATATCTCACGGCGAAATGCCTGCTGTATTTTTTGGAGCTGTGAGTTGTAAATTGAACATTTGTCATGGAACCAAAATTTTACGTCCAGTGGCAGAACTATGTGTGTAGGTGTAAGCGTTTGTTTTTATGTGTGTATGTGTGCGCGTGTTTGTGAATACGTGTGTTATATGTGTGTGCGCGTGTGTGTGTGTGAGTAAACTCACCACAAGTACAGTTGTTGCCACTGCAGGAATATTTATAGTCTACGACGTAAGGCCAGCAATCCATGATGGTACCATAGCAGTCGTCATGGGCTTTACAACATCTGAAATAGGGAAATATTTCAAGCTTCATTTATATTCATAATTGTATGAACACTCACCAGAACGCATTGATTCGCATTAGAAATAGTAAAACTTGACAAACTTAACTGACTTAAGTTTAAAATTATTACTAATTTAACTTTAAATTTTACATATCCTACAATATTGCAGTCTATGAGCAGGTACTAATTTGAACCAGGGGATCAATGTAATAGATATTGTAGAGTTTAAATGGTTTCTGAGAATTCGGCATATAAATAGGATGTGTAATCAGTAATATGCTCAGCGGTATTTACTTACCACAACTTAAGACGTGTATCTTTAGATTTGAGTAGACTCAGGTACCTTTCTACACACCCAGGTGAAGGACAAAACTATTTCCGCCAGAGTTTCTTCCAGGCATCTTTACCCCCCCCCCCTCCACCCAAATGGAATTTATATAGAAAACATATACTTTTACCAGTCGTCCCCCCCCCTCCCCCCAACCCCGAAAATATTAAGTGCCCCCGGAGAAAAATCAGGAAAAAACACTGATTACCGCATAGAAGACCTATGATTGTAACCACTTTGCCAGTAGCTTATACCTGTCAGTGTCGTCCACGGGTGTTCCATAACCCCCTAAACCACAAAAACAGCCGTAGCCGTTGTAGTATATGGCGCCATCTCTTCCTGTAGCCTGGGTTAGTAGACCAGCTAGGTTGAAGATGCTTCTCTTGTGGATGATCACCTCGGATGGAGCTGTGTAAACAAAACACAGAGAGTTTCTTTCACGCATTTATTCGAGGTGGTACTGCCCCCTCCCTCCAACCCCCGAGCACGTCCACCGTCCTCTCCCCCACGGGCAAATTACAAAATTATAATGTTTACAGAAAATTTATACGTTGACCAGTGTCCGTCAGCCCCCCCCCCCCACCCCAGAAGTTTCAAGTGCTCTTGCATCCCTGAGAAAAATATCTGAAAGAAACCCTAAATACACATAATTAGCAATAACGTAATCACGTGGTGAGCGTTTAGTTTTAAAATTGAATATACTGAAAAAAAGGGTCTCGCACGACAAAGTAATGCTTCATTATTTTTACAAGTCAATAAAATAATATAGCATGAAATGATATTTAATGTTTTGAGCCCTACGCCACCACCACCACCATATAATCCACACATCATCACACCACCACCACCACATACCACACACATCGTCACACTACCACAAACCCCACACATCATTACACCACACATCATCACACCACCACCACTACCACGAAATCCACACACATCATTGCACCACCACCACCACAATGCCCACACATCACACCACCACAAACCCCAAACGTCATTACACCGCACATCATCACACCACCACCACCACCACTACCACGAAACCCACACACATCATCACACCATAACCACCACAAACCCAACGTATAGAATATATTCACCAAAAATTCCAAGAAGACAAACAAGCTAAAATGCCCATCCCATAAAGTACAATATATGTGTATGTTCCTAATTGGACAAACAAATTGTTGACGTATGTGTCACTCACCAACTGATACCATGGCTAGCAACACAACGAAACACTTGACCAATGTATTCATGTTGACTTGACTGAAATAAAATAAACAGCTAAAGAAATTACTCTAGCGAAATTTAAAAGACAAATGTAAAACGTTAAGCCTACACATTAATGTATTTGCGTGTTGATTTTTTCGCTAATTTTGTAATTTTTTTAGGACTTATCTTGCCCTTTTTGAAACGTTCTAAGGAGAGACAACTATTGGGTGGACAAAGGCTATTGAAGCAAATCCAAAAAGAAAAGCAGGCTGAAATCGTAGTCAACGACCTATATAGCATACATGTTGACACGTAAAACTTAATTGTGTTGGAGGGAATAGATCTTCCAAATCTAGATTTAAGAGCGAAGGAGAAGAAGAAATAAAAAACGTATCAAATATAAGACATTCTATTATTGTGTATTTATTATGTTATTAAATAAGTATTAAACACGTGTGTAAACATCAAAATGGAAACACAATTAACAACGCTCGTATTTTAACGTAGTCATCTTAAGAAAAACTGCAACTTCAAAGCTGGCAACAGAAATAGACTTGAGATAAAGAGTTTCATATAAACAAAGACAACTTGCATAATTTAGAGGCACTGTCTAAAAGAGTTAGATAAAAAATAACAATGTCTCATGAAGTTTATGTAGAGAATATTGTTTTTTTTCTGAATTTCTAATGCAATAAAACATACGCTTAAAAGTTTAAAATATCAAAGTTTTAACTAAAAACAAGTAGTTAAAAAAAGTCTAGTGACAATTTTAGCGCAATTTCCTTGTGTTATCTAAAAATAGCTCTGTCGTAGCGTAAATCAAGAGCAGGGTTAGTAAAACCATTGGTTAGTTATTAAAACGTTTTTTATTAATTTTTTTTCAGTATTTTACATGTTTTATTTACAATAGAGTAACATGACTAAAAACCATTGCGCGCCCAGCTACCGAACGTGACGTCGCAGCCATTGAACGTGATGGCGCTGCTATTGAACGTGATGACGCGTGTGGTGTGGTTGCATAAAACGCCTACTAATTCGGTCCAAATTTTAATTAATTCAAAAAAGTTTTTGTGACCAAACGAAAGGATATTTTTGAAAACTTTCTTCGGCAATATTGTTCTAAATTATGGCAGGAATCGATTGGTACATGTTTCAAGTCGCTAAGTGGTCTGGTTGCCGAGATATGGGCCAAAAACTGCATTTTTTCGAGGTTTTTTGGCTTTTCCGGGAAATCCATGAAAGAAACCCGGAATGTTTATGGCCTATGTTCATCCTCGTAACTTGCTTAACATAATAGCTTTGGAACTAGTCCTCGATATTGCTTCGTTGAGGAGGAGATACGACTTAAAGCTGCGGACACACATCCATCCATCCATCCATTCATCCATCCATCCATTCCCAGAAAGACGAGTTAATAAACGCAATTCTCCAGAATGGAAATTGCGCTAAAAATTCCCTTGTGCTTACATTGATGGCAGATCTAGAGTGCGGAGCTGTATGTTAATCAATACAGAAATAATTTGACGAGCCTTCAGCAGGTTAGTTAAAAAAATTAATAACCTGTATGTTTCAGCTGGAAGGTTTCAATCAACACAGTTTTCTTAGCATTTATATAACCCAAGCAAGTCTCAATTCATTAATTATTATTCATAATATAGAAAATTATCTGTACAACAATCGTTATATAGATACGTCTATAACTCGCATTTCTTATATTATTTTTAACAGAAATATCTTGCATTTTTAATATTCCGAAATGTGTAATGAATATTATCTCTGATGAATTATTTAAATATTCTATTCATGTTTTATTTAGCGTTTTTATGTCCCTTTACTGATGCTCTCAAAAGTTGATAAGAAAAATTCCAATATTCATGGGCTGATGTTAATAAGAACACGGCACAAAGGATTCATGATGCTATCGTGGCAACACAATCGTCCTATATTTTCTACAGAAGCAAATTTTAGATTAATTTACGTTATTTGCATTGCATGCCGGGAACATCTTGAGAAAAATTACTTTAAACTTTGTCCCACTGTCATTGACTTTAGCCCTACTGTCCTGTGGCTTGACCAGTCCTAATGCACTGTTACTTGACCAGTGCTACATCCCTGTGACTTGACCATCCCTACTGTTATGTGACTTGACCATCACTACTGTTATATGACTTGACCATCACTACTGTTATGTGACTTGACTAGTGCTACATCCCTGTGATTTGGCCATCCCTACTGTTATGTGACTTGACCATCACTACTGTTATATGACTTGACCATCACTACTGTTATGTGACTTGACTAGTGCTACATCCCTGTGATTTGACCATCCCTAATGTTATATGACTTGGCCATCACTACTGTTATGTGACTTGACTAGTGCTACATCCCTGTGATTTGACCATCACTACTGTTATATGACTTGACCATCCCTACTGTTATGTGACTTGACTAGCCCTACTGTTATGTGACTTGACTAGCCCTACTGTTATGTGACTTTAGCCCTACTGTTATGTGATTAGACCATCCCTACTGTTATGTGACTTGACTAGCCCTACTGTTATGTGACTTGACTAGCCCTACTGTTATGTGACTTGACTAGCCCTACTGTTATGTGACTTGACCAGCCCTACTGTTATGTGACTTGTCCATCCCTACTGTTATGTGACTTGACTAGCCCTACTGTTATGTGACTTGACTAGCCCTACTGTTATGTGACTTGACTAGCCCTACTGTTATGTGACTTGACTAGCCCTACTGTTATGTGACTTGACCAGCCCTACTGTTATGTGACTTGACTAGTCCTACTGTTATATGACTTGACTAGCCCTACTGTTATGTGACTTGACTAGCCCTACTGTTATGTGACTTGACCATCCCTACTGTTATGTGAATTGACTAGTCCTACTGTTATGTGACTTTAGCCCTACTGTTATGTGACTTGACCAGCCCTACTGTTATGTGACTTGACTAGTCCTACTGTTATATGACTTGACTAGCCCTACTGTTATGTGACTTGACTAGCCCTACTGTTATGTGACTTGACCATCCCTACTGTTATGTGAATTGACTAGTCCTACTGTTATGTGACTTTAGCCCTACTGTTATGTGACTTGACTAGCCCTACTGTTATGTGACTTGACTAGCCGTACTGTTATGTGACTTGACCAGTCCTACTGTTATGTGACTTGACTAGCCCTACTGTTATGTGACTTGATTAGCTCTACTGTTATGTGACTTGACCATCCCTACTGTTATGTGACTTTAGCCCTAATGTTATGTGACTTGATCATCCCTACTGTTATGTGACTTGACTAGTCCTACTGTTATGTGACTTGACTAGCCCTACTGTTATGTGAATTGACTAGCCCTACTGTTATGTGACTTTAGCCCTACTGTTATGTGACTTGACTAGCCCTACTGTTATGTGACTTTAGCCCTACTGTTATGTGACTTGACTAGCCCTACTGTTATGTGACTTGACTAGCCCTACTGTTATGTGACTTGACTAGCCCTACTGTTATGTGACTTGACTAGCCCTACTGTTATGTGACTTTAGCCCTACTGTTATGTGACTTGACTAGCCCTACTGTTATGTGACTTGACTAGCCCTACTGTTATGTGACTTGACTAGCCCTACTGTTATGTGACTTTAGCCCTACTGTTATGTGACTTGACTAGCCCTACTGTTATGTGACTTGACTAGCCCTACTGTTATGTGACTTGACTAGTCCTACTGTTATGTGACTTGACTAGCCCTACTGTTATGTGACTTTAGCCCTACTGTTATGTGACTTTAGCCCTACTGTTATGTGACTTGACTAGCCCTACTGTTATGTGACTTTAGGCTTCTGTTATGTGACTTGACTAGCCCTACTGTTATTTGACTTTAGCCCTACTGTTATGTGACTTTACTAGCCCTACTGTTATGTGACTTTAGCCCTACTGTCATGTGACTTGACTAGCCCTACTGTTATGTGACTTGACCATCCCTACTGTTATGTGACTTGACTAGTCCTACTGTTATGTGATTTGACTAGCCCTACTGTTATGTGACTTGACTAGCCCTACTGTTATGTGACTTGACCATCCCTACTGTTATGTGACTTGACTAGCCCTACTGTTATGTGACTTTAGCCCTACTGTTATGTGACTTGACTAGCCCTACTGTTATGTGACTTGACTAGCCTTACAGTTATGTGACTTGACTAGCCCTACTGTTATGTG